CCACAAAAAAAAAAAAATTGGGGGTTTTTTTTTTTTTTTTTTTTTTTTTTTTTTTCTTTCTTTTGTCATCTTCTTTTTTCAAATTTTCAAACATGGCACATACTGTCATTCCAAGATTGTTAGTAAACTTCAGTGTCCAAATCTCCTAACAAATATTGTGCTGAATCTCCAGATCTTTGACACAAAAATACCTATTCATTTGAATATAATGCTTTCTTTTTTTCATGTTTTAGTCACTATGAGTTTGACAGAATTTCATTGCATATTACTCCTCCTTTTCATTCTGGAATATGTAGATTTTACATAAGAAATTTGAATATGTCAGCTGGAAGATGATGCTGTAATACTGAATGAGAATTGTACTTAGCTATAATTTTCTCCTCTGGTTTCATACTAATGGCTTGAAATGCATCTCCCATGTGTTCCCATAAAGTCTGACCATGGCAAAGGCTGGGAGATAAAGTCAGGCAAGGAGCTCGTTCATAGGGGTGAATTCTTACCTGAGACACCATCTGCATGGGACATTCTGGCAGTGCTCCCAAACCCAGTTCTGAGCTTATTTGAAGGTGTTATTTTTCATATTACAAAAACTGACCTTTCCTTACTAAACACCCCTCCTGTTTTTACTGTGAGTGATGGATTGGGATGAATGTGATGGTTTGATTTACCATATCCAAACATCTCCAAGCAATTAACCTACAGTGTCTGATGTGCAGCATCCTTCTGAATTAAGTGCAGTGGTGCAAGCCACTGAAAAGGCTTTATTTACCTTTCTGTGAAGGACTACAACAACAAGCTGGACCCAAGATCCAGAAAATTTTGTAGTTTATTCTCAGCTAGAAAGAAAATAATTTCTTTGCAGGTCCTAAGAACCCAGAACTTCTGTCCAGTGCTGATCTTTACCCAAAGGTTTCTTTTACATGGTGCTGTTTCTTGAAACAGGAGGAGCATAAACCTTTGAGTCTTTAGATCCCAGTTAGTTGCTTCCTCTAGCAGATTCTTGTGAATATCTTCTGACTTTTCCACTTTGTCTTTCTCGTGTAGTTCCACCTCTAGCTCAGTGGATTAATCCCATGGAAGTGGGATCTGAAATGTCCAGAGTGCTAATAAAAATGTTGCATGAAAAACATTAAAAACTCCGGGGCAGCAGTGACTGCTCACCATGCTCAGCACTACTTTTTTCCTTCCTCAGAAAAACTCTACATCATGAAGGCAGACACTGTTATCGTGGGGACTGTTTCAGAAGTGCCCAGTGGCAAGAACTGTGCTGTTAAAGGATGTGAAAATAACCTCGATGCCCAGGAAAGCATGGAAGAGGAGCTGGAAATGCACTACCCAGAGCAGGAGACAGAGTCTTTTCCAGGGAATGATGTGATGGTTCCTGTGGAAGAGGAGGGAAAGGAATTTCACCACCCTACCACTGCCACTGAGAAGTGACAACCCACAGAGACGGTGTGGGAAGATACAGAAGCACCCAGTGTGACACTAAGGCAGAATTTATGACAGGGGAGGTAAACACACTGTGCCTTAGATTATTGGGAACCTCCTGGGAAATACTGAAACACTCAAACAAGGAGTTAGCACCTATTTCATCTCACAAAGGAGAGGATCACCCAAACTGTTGGCCTTCATAGCTGACATCAAATACTTCTATTTCCCTGTCTCCCAGTATCATACTCACAAAAAATTTGAATCAAAGCTGCATAATTTAGAGGACATCTGGATGTCAGCTGAAGTTTCAGAGCTTGCTTTTTCAGTGTGAAGGAATGGATTGAAATCTATGTCTGGTTACTTCTATTAGCTGTGAAAATTCTAGCCAGGATTCTGAGTCAAGTTTGAGACTCAGCCATGTTGTTTCTACTCCAATACATTCAATTTGGTAATATATTTTGAAACATCTGGCATTTACTCAAGCCTTCAACTTTTGATTGAAAATTATAATAATCTCCATTTCCTTAGCATAAATATAACTCTCAAGTTTGTGGATTTCATGTTTCTTGAGGAATTAGGATCAAAAGGTGCCACACAGGCTCTGAAAACAGACGGCAAATAAAACTAATTAATGTCCACTGTACTTTAGGCCATTCTTTCTAGGTTTTGAAGTCCAATTCATTTTTTTTTACCACATCAAATCATGAGTAAGTCTACAAAACAGCCTCTTCTGATGGAAGCCAAACTGGCTGAGCATCTGGCTATTGGATGAACTATGGGTTAAGCCCAATGGGGAGCCTGTAAAAAGAGAAGTGAAGAAAAGAAACAATTTCTCTACTGAAAAAGAGACACAGCAGTTATTTCCTATAACATTGTTAATATCTACTTGTTTTAGAATCGTTCATAATCATCAGGGTAACACTGATTTGCATATCCTTTAAAAACAAACCTGTTTGGTGGCCAACTGCCCTGTGTTATGCTATTTTTAAATCTTTTGTGCTGCTTGTTCAGTAACTGTAAATGTAATAGTGCTGACTACACTGTTACACAGGACAGTGGAAAATGAGCAATATGACAAAGTGTGTCTTAATAATCAAAAAAAAAGGAACCACAAAACCCATTTCTTGCTTTGTAGTTTTGTCCTGATCAGAGCACTGTAATAACAGTGGTGCACCTGCAGCAAATTCTGTCTCAGAGCAAACAGAAGGGCACAAAAACACCTTCTTGGGCCAGACTGGAGTTTGAGCCCAGCATTTCACCTCTGACACTTGCAGCAAGGGATTAGTTAGGAAAACCACAACTGCTGTTTGCATTCATCATAGTTCTGCAGTGGCAGCTGGAATTGGATTAAGGATGTCAAAGAGTTTGATTCAGCCTTTATTTTTCTCTTATATCACCATTAGTTTTTCTTCTCTCTTTTGAATTTCCAAGCACAATCTGCCTCCATAAGCACCCGTGGCAAAAGGTTACAGATATCATGCACTGTGTAAAGGACTTTTAGCACTTTGAAACTGGCCTCTTTATTTCAGTGAATGTCACTAGCTGTTGCCTTACAGAAGTCAGTGAGTTGCTTTTTATTTGTTCTTTTTCCACCAAGTTGCTTTTGTGATTGATTGTATCTCAGCTTTGATTGCACTAAGCCTCCAGGCTGAGTCCCATTTTTTCATGTTACTCATGTAAGTTTGATGCTCCTCTGGCTTGGTCACTTTAGTTGACCTTTTCCACATCTACTTTAACTTCACTACATACTTCATTTTAGAGAACACCAGTTCATGAATCCACAAACTGAATAACCACATTTACCTGGCTGTGATTGTTCGGGGCTGTTCTGCAATGACTGTAATTGTGTATTTCCACTCTGTTATTAATGAATTTTTTTTTTTTTTACTAGAACAACTTTCTAAAAGAACCATATGCATTGCAACCTGCTGGACATGTTATAATTAGTTGGTTTAATAACGCTGGTAATCTCTGAATTAAAAATTACACGGGTTTTAAGCCATGGCCACGCTTTTCCTGTTTGATATATATTAAATTGCTGATGATTTCATTCTCAGAAGAAATATTTTTGCAAGAAAGCCATTTGAAGCTCACAGAGCTCTTAGTGGATTAGAGTTTTTCTCAGGAGCAGGGCTGAATTTACAGCGAAGTCCGTCTGCACCACCCCGGCTGCGTGCGACGAGTGGCTGCCATCAATGAGTGTTAATGAACACTGGAACGCTGCAGAGGCAACTTCGCACTGCGGGGCGAAGTGCTGGCGGTGCAAGGCGGTGTTCCGTGCACGGGGCAGACGAGACCCTCCCCACACCTGGTGGGGCCGGTGCGAGCGGCCCGGCCGAGCGGGGCGGGCTCCGGGCGGTGCCTGCGGGCCGGACCCGCCCGGCCGCGCTCGGCGGCGATGGGGCCGCGCCGGGCGCTGCTCCGGGAGCCCGTCCCGGGGCCCATCCTGCCGCCGATCCCGCCGCCGATCCCGGCGCTGATGCTGGTGTTGATCCCGGTGTTGATGCCGGTGCTGATCCCCGCCGCGGCCGGGCGGGTGAGCGGGGCCGGGCGGAGCGGGAGCGCCGCGGGGAGAGGCGGGCGGCATCGCCCGGGGATGGCCCTGCGGAGGGGAGAGAGCGGGGAGCGTCTCGCTGCTGTGTGCGCGGGCTGCTTGTCACCTGCCCGCCCCTTGTCGCCTGTATGTTCCTTGTCAGGTGTCCCTTGTCGCCGGTCTGTCTCTTGTCATCTGTCCCTTGTCGCCTGCCCCTTGTCGCCTGTTTGTTCCTTGTCACCTGTACCTTGTTGCCTGTCTGTCCCTTGTCATCTGTCCCTTGTCAGGTGTCCCTTTTCTCCTGCCTCTTGTTGCCTGTCTGTGCCTCGCCTCCTGCCCCTTGTCGCCTGTTTGTTCCTTGTCACCTGTCCCTTGTCTCCTGCCCCTTGTTGCCTGTGTCTCTTTTCACCTGTCCCTTGTCTCCTGTCTGTTCCTTGTCAGGTGTCCCTTGTCTCCTGCCCCTTGTCGCCTGTTTGTTCCTTGTCACCTGTACCTTGTTGCCTGTCTGTCCCTTGTCATCTGTCCCTTGTCAGGTGTCCCTTTTCTCCTGCCTCTTGTTGCCTGTCTGTGCCTCGCCTCCTGCCCCTTGTCGCCTGTTTGTTCCTTGTCACCTGTCCCTTGTCTCCTACCCCTTGTCACCTGTCCCTTCTCACCTGTCCCTTGTCTCCTGCCCTTTGTCGCCTGTCTGTTCCTTGTCACCTCTGTGCCCCTGGGCTTGGGCTGGATTCATGGTGATCTCTACAGCAAGCTCAAGTCCCGCTCTTAAAACGTCAAAGCTCAGCCTTTGTCTGTGTTGTTGTTACTTCTTGCCTTCCCAAAGGAATGACTAATAATTTTTCCTGGATTTTCATAGGAAATAGGTTGATTTTGCAGGCTTATTTGAATGTTTGTAAAAACCGTGGCGAGCATCCTGGCAAGTGCAGAGTGTAAACCCGTGTCTGTATGACATTGTTTACACAGGAAGAACTTGTGCTCTGTTGGTTCCCTAGAACTCTTCCCCATTTAAATAGAAAAGCCTTTAATTTGCAGTGAAGATCTGATGTGCTGCAGCTGTTGCTGTTCCTGCAGCACTGTTTGGCAGTGAGGGTTTGTAACTGTGTCAGCCAAAGAGCTCCATGGGATCTGTTTGCCTTCCACTGAGTGTTTTCTTACTGGTGCATTGATAGCACTTTTCTGTCTGGTTTTAAAATGTTCAGGATTGGGAAGATAAATATAGAAATGTGTCTGGGATGTCCGGGGCACTGTGTTCTTATGTGATATTTATGTTATTTATATGTTTAATCATAGGAATTTAGGCTGGATAAAACTAAATGAAATCAGGTGAGGATGTCAGAATGTGTATTGAACCTGGAATTACACAGTGGTCTTTTAAGGAGTATGGAGTGCTACAGTGAGCTGATAATATATTAAAATAATTATTTGAACTGTTTCTAACTAATTTTTCATTCAGCTCTGGTTTTAAGGTGAGAGTGTTTTGAACCTGATTTACTGGACACCTTGCAGTGGATAGGATAAAGCAGATAGAGAAGGGACAGTCTCAGAATTGTGGCAGACCTTATCAATAGAATTTGTCATGTTTCATGCTGAGCAAGGGCCTTTGGTTCAAAAGGAATTAGCTTTCCTCTCACTCTAAATATGACAGAAACATAATGATGGAAATAATGACAGAAACTTCAGCATCACTTTTTGCACTGTAATAAAATAAGGAAAAGCTTATATGTAAAGTTAGAGAAACAAACACAGTAGTTTTGGTAATATCACACCTGCCACAGAGCTGGAAAAAAACCCATGCCTGTTATATCAATTTTTAACAGTTATTTGTTAAAGAAAACTTACTTTATTTTTGAGGGAGACAAACAGGCAAAGCAACAGTTCTTGAGTGACACTACCTCTTGGGTTTTTCCTCATTCCCTTGTCACCTGTCCCTTCTCACCTGTCCCTTGTCTCCTGCCCCTTGTCGCCTGTTTGTTCCTTGTCACCTGTCCCTTGTCTCCTACCCCTTGTCACCTGTCCCTTCTCACCTGTCCCTTGTCTCCTGCCCTTTGTCGCCTGTCTGTTCCTTGTCACCTCTGTGCCCCTGGGCTTGGGCTGGATTCATGGTGATCTCTGCAGCAAGCTCAAGTCCTGCTCTTAAAACGTCAAAGCTCAGCCTTTGTCTGTGTTGTTGTTACTTCTTGCCTTCCCAAAGGAATGACTAATAATTTTTCCTGGATTTTCATAGGAAATAGGTTGATTTTGCAGGCTTATTTGAATGTTTGTAAAAACCGTGGCGAGCATCCTGGCAAGTGCAGAGTGTAAACCCGTGTCTGTATGACATTGTTTACACAGGAAGAACTTGTGCTCTGTTGGTTCCCTAGAACTCTTCCCCATTTAAATAGAAAAACCTTTAATTTGCAGTGAAGATCTGATGTGCTGCAGCTGTTGCTGTTCCTGCAGCACTGTTTGGCAGTGAGGGTTTGTAACTGTGTCAGCCAAAGAGCTCCATGGGATCTGTTTGCCTTCCACTGAGTGTTTTCTTACTGGTGCATTGATAGCACTTTTCTGTCTGGTTTTAAAATGTTCAGGATTGGGAAGATAAATATAGAAATGTGTCTGGGATGTCCGGGGCACTGTGTTCTTATGGGATATTTATGTTATTTATATGTTTAATCATAGGAATTTAGGCTGGATAAAACAAATTGAAATGAAATCAGGTGAGGATGTCAGAATGTGTATTGAACCTGGAATTACACAGT